CAAGCCAGGGATCGAACACACGCGTGGGGAGGGGGATAGCGCTGAGTGGGCGCTGACTGGATAAATGAGGGCGATGTGGACGGTGACGTGGACGCGTGGGAGGCGTTGGATGCGAGGACTTGTCAACTAGTCAACCAAGATCTAACGGACAGCATGTTTCTTCTCCAAATTGAATATTTTTTCAGCACATGAATAGTAACCCGCAGCACTATTCACATGGATTTTTGGCCACTTTGAAGCACCATAACTCCATCAATAATTATCCGTTTCGCACAAAATTTTAGTCAAAATTGAAGGAAAAAATTCAAGGAATCCAAATATGGTCTTAGATTTTCTTGAAACTCTCTCTAACTCCCAAAATGTGGCACCTCAAGAAAAACTCAAGAACCAAAAATTGTCATAAAAACCATCTTTTTTGTACTAGAATCCATGTAAGAGATGAGAGCAATGTGATGCAACAACAATAATGCAAGAAAGACTCATAAATCATGAGTTATGTCGAATTCTTTATACCTTGGAAAAATGAATTATGGAGCTTTAATGAAGCACGAATTTCTTTGGAAAAAAGTGTAGAGACCTTCAATAATTCTTGGTAGAGGTATTAGGATCAAAGAAAATGCTTGAATTGGTGAGAAAATGAAAATCACTTTTGCACTTGGAGCTCACTTTTTCATGTTGATACAACCATGGAATTGCACTAAAATCTTCTCAAAAATTGATGGAAAAATCCTATGTAGTATATTGAATTAATTGGTAATGAGAAAGGATCAAAAAATGGAGAGAAAAAGGATTGAAAAAAATGGAAATTCAAACATGTGAAAGTGTGGGAAAAAATGGAAAAATGATGGAAAAAATTCAATATGATTTGCAAATGGATTCAACATCAACTATCACCAACCTTTACTCTTAATGATCTCAATCCAATATATAGATGATGATTAACAAACTTAGAGGTTTCTAGAATAATCTTGGAGGATTCTAGAAAGTTGTGGAAATTTCATGAACTTCTCATGCCATGATACTTTGAATATCTCTTATCTCATGCTTGCAACTTTCCAAACTTATGTCAAAATCTCCTTACATGAGATATGGGAAGTGTATGTAAGCTCCTTGCCTTGAAAATTCATCTTGTGCCAAGTTTTCTATACTTGCCTTATTATGCAAGTAACAAAAATACAAAGCAAGTCCAATTTTTAAACCCTAACTCAAAAAAGTGGCTGAACCAATGTCTTTAAAATGATGTTGGGAATCAATTTGGTATATTGGATGACCCATATTGGACTTGTAGATCTCTCAAACCATTTTCCAACTTGAACTTTTTCAAGTTATATGCCTTTTTTAAGTCATTTTTCACCAACTTTTATCAAGTCTTGTTCCATGCATTTCCAAACTTTCATGACTTCTTTTCTTGACTTAAAATGGCATTTTGAGCAACTTTGATGTTGGGAAGTTTTTCATTTGAAGCTCCCTTGTATGAGTTTTAGGTATAGGCTAAGAATGACCTGTAATCACCAGATGACCAAAATACCCTTTGCTTGCCAAGACCATAAGTAGAGTTCCACAAATCATATGAAGGCATACCATACCATTCTAGAAAGCTAAGACAATGAGGAACAATTCTTATGTTTACCAGAAATTCATTTGAAATCTCCTTGAGGGGTAAAAAATTGCTTGGAAGTCAAGTCACTTTCACAGACAAAACTTCAGATACCTCAGATGACCTGTAACTTGCAAGGACCATAACTTGAGTTCTATAAATCTCCTTGATGTATTCCACCACTCAAATTAAAGGTCTTGAGATCCTATACAAGTTTCATGTTGGCCAAGGATCCATTTGAAGCTTGCATTTTGACTTATCTTGCTTGGAAGTTTGTCCTAAACTAGGGAATTTTACACAGAAACCCTAATTTAAAAACTCCTCTTCTCCTTGATTTCTCTTGAATTCTTCTTAGCATAACAACATATCCTTATTCTTCATGTCAAATGATGAACCCCACATCTCTCCAATAGCCCTTAATGCCTTTCAATCAGTCAATTGACCTAGAGTTGACCCAGGGTTGACCCAGGTGAAACCCTAGTTGACTGTCTTCAACTGTAATTCTTGTGACTTCACCAATGACTTGTCTCCTTCTCCAAATGACTTTCTAAGTCCTCCAAGATGTCTAGATACTCCCCATGCTCAGCCCACAGCTCACCATTTCTTTGTTGATCCTCAGACACCCTCAGTTAGGAGATAGATGAACTGCTTGATCCATTGACTTGATAGCTTCCAAATTCTTTTCTGATGACTTGAATGAGGTTGAATCAGGATAATAACCTCTTGATAGGCCTCTAGAGATGAGAATAATGATTGGTCCCCTGTTAGCTGACTTGCTATGCTTATGATATGCAGATGAGTAACCTATGTACATGGCCCTATATGCAAATGCTAATGCAATTGAAACATAAACCAAGTGAATAAGGTTGGGCAAATTTTTAGGGTGCAACAATCTCGAGTTACAACAATTAGCAATTTGGATTCGATCGAGTAAAAACTTTGAAGAGTTATGGTTCTTGCAAAAGAGTAGCGTGAGACGGTGGATCATATTGGTACTTTAGGTGACAACAATTCGCAATTTAGATTTGATCGACTGAAATATTTGAAGAACATAAAGCTCTTGCAAAAAAGTAGCGTGAGATGGTGAATCAAATTGGCATTGTTGGGTTACTTGATCAAGTTTAATCAAGGGAAGAGAAAGTTAGAATCAACATCAAACTTAGGGCTTGTAAGGTTGGATTCCTACATTTCTTTTGTATATGCATTTTGCAAATTAAGGTTAATTTCATTATCTCAATTTGAATTCGAATTGAATGCAAATGTACCCATAGCAAGGTCAATTGAGGAGTTGTCTAAACAAATCCTTGTGTACTCTCTCTCTCTCTCTCTCTCTCTCGCTCTCTCTCTCTCTTCTCTCTCTCTCTCTCTCTCTCTCTCTCTCTCTCTCTCACACACACACACACACACACACACACACACACACACACACACACACACACACACACACACACACACACACACACACACACACACACACACACACACACACACACACACACACACACACACACACACACACACACACACACACACACACACACACACACACACACACACACACACACACACACACACACACACACACACACACACACACACACACACACACACACACACACACACACACACACACACACACACACACACACACACACACACACACACACACACACACACACACACACACACACACACACACACACACACACACACACACACACACACACACACACACACACACACACACACACACACACACACACACACACACACACACACACACACACACACACACACACACACACACACACACACACACACACACACACACACACACACACACACACACACACACACACACACACACACACACACACACACACACACACACACACACACACACACACACACACACACACACACACACACACACACACACACACACACACACACACACACACACACACACACACACACACACACACACACACACACACACACACACACACACACACACACACACACACACACACACACACACACACACACACACACACACACACACACACACACACACATTCATTTACAAATTATTAAGTTCATTATTTGTGCAATTAATTCGTTTAGTAAATTCTTTTGAAAAACGTTTTGTTGAGTTGATCATAATCTTTTAAATTGTAGTTTTAGAATCAACAAAACTATACAAATATTCAAACAAAATCAATTGTACATAAGGTGTTCGGTAATTTGTCTCAATAGTATTTGTGTGTGATCGATAATTTATCTCAATAGTATTTGTGTGTGATTGATCATTGAAAATAGTCTCTATTTTTAGCATAGCATTAAATTGGTTATGACTGATTGATTGTTGATCTAATTTGTGTTTATTATCATTGATTGATTTCAATTTCCAATAGCAATTCAATTTAAACGAATCGATCCAATTCACTTCCACTAGCCAATATTTTTTTAAACAATTTTTTGTAAAAAAAAGTTTAAGAATATATTCACTCCTAAATAAGTCGACTTCATCTAACATTGTTCTCTCATACTAAGTGCCATTTATTTTAACTTTAGAAGAAGAAAAAAAACTCTGTATTTTTAAAAATATTAAAAATTTGTTTTTTTTAAATTAAATAACTAATTTTAACATTCTATAACATAAATACACACCAAAATATAATTGAAATTACAATTTTTTTTAAAAAAGTTATATCTCAAAAATGAATTTCATAAAAAACCATTTAAAATAAATATAATTGAAATTACAATTTTTTTTAAAAAAGTTATATCTCAAAAATGAATTTCATAAAAAACCATTTAAAATAACTTCAAAATTAGGTGATTATTTTAAATTTTGATATTAATTTTTTTTCCAATAAAACAATAAAATATTTAAAATAATATTTTAAAATTAATTATTTTCATTTTCAGCCTGCTTTTGGAAAATATTTCTACAGAAAATGTTTCCTAAAATACACGCAAACATAGTTATACCTCCATTTTCTATCTTCGCTAAAAATGAAAATAGGAAATAGTCAAAGTAAACTCACTTACAGAAACAGTTGGAGTAACACCTGTAGTAAGAAAAATAAATTAGATAGAGGGTGATATAGTTTTTGATATGGATAGATATAGTTTTTGATTCAACATTATAACATCATTTGATTCATGTAAAACATTGTCATCCTCCTACAAAAGCACATCACCAAATCCATGAAAGAAGAATCCACAAACTTAATCACAGTATTTCAGTTATAAACGCAATTCAACCGCACCCCACCCCATGTAATGGTAGATTGCTTAGTTCTGACAATAACAAAATAACCGAGCACCCAAAATGGTAAAATTGGTTCTTTGCTGACTTTGTTGTGCCCTCTAACAAATCTATACCTTATCAATGCTAATCAAAACTAGCATTCAAAAAGTTTAGCAGTTCATTTCTCTTGCTCTCGGCCTCCTTATCTTCCTTTGTTTTATCCAATTTGAGAAGAATCTAAAATGAAACAAAAGGAAGAAGACTCAATATTGCTACTGCAACTAACAGGATCCAAGAAAAAGATACCAATCAAATACTACTCTTATAATACCTTCTTGCCAGACACAGCACTTCGACGGACACCATCATCTTTGTTGCGCCCTAAAAACTGATCAAATAGAAAAAAACTATCAAAACGGAGAACTATATAAGCAAGTATTTGTATTGACTATGTGAGATGGATAGTAATTATAAAAATAAAAATAAAATAAAATAAAATAATAATAAAAATAAAAATAAAAATAAAAAAACCTTTGATAGCTGAACAGGGCTGCTGCTCCTTTCACCACTCTGCTTCTATATAAAACTCCCATTACCAGGAAAAACCCGACCAAGAAACAACATTCAAGCAAGTCAATCACGCACCCAGACATGTCACAGATCCAGCTCCAATTTCAAAGAGCCAAAACATAAAATAAGATGGAAGTATCATAAGCATCTCAGACTGAAATCTACTAAACATACATGAATTAAATTTTTCTTTCTCTATGTATTATGCAAATTTTAGTTAGAGAAAGGGAACAATGAACAAGGACATTCAACCTATGAACCCCAGACACCAACACGGACATGGCAAGACCGACATCGACACCGCTACATGTATGTGTTTTATTATAATTAAATAAAATATTGATATTATTAATAAAATGTTTAAATTGAAAATCAAAATATATACATGTGCATCTAAATTGAGCAATATATTTCATTAAAAAAATTTAAGACCGGATATGTATTTTTGACTTTTATTTATTCATCTATTATCGCAAAAGCTAAAAATACTATAATCATATTTAATATCTTTAACACTTCATTTCTCAGCATTGCTTTGACACATCTTTAATCCGAGCACGAGTCTAAAGATATGTCAAAAGAATATCTAAGTTGGGCTGAAGCAAAGAAAAGAAAAATTGGACACTTGTCTAAGTTGTCTGACATGTGTCGTATAAGTGTCATACATGTGTCAGACACCGATCCAAAGAGTATCGTCAAAGCAAAGGAAAGAGAGAGAAAAAATTAGGACACTTAGAATTTTCTAACATGTGCAGTATCATACGTGCTTCATAGAGATTAGACCAATATTTTCAAGGTGTAGAAGATGATGGGATAGTATACTCTAGAGGTGTGTCTTAAGTTGATGAATCTTAGAATGGAAGAATATTCACGCGGAAAAACTTCCAGCAAATAGGATTTGAGCATGTTGACTCAAAGTGTTCTTCCACGCGAAAAAATTCCAGCAAATAGGATTTAGCATGTTGACTCAAAGTTTATGAACACGATGATGATATAAATGAGTTGGGTAGCTCGCCTGGTTTTTGAGATAATGGTTGTCTTAAGTTGATGTATCTTAGAGGATGAATATCCACGCAGAAAAACATCCAGAAAATAGGATTGAGCATGTTGACTAAAGTTTATGAACAAGATGTTGATATAAATAGGTGAGTCGAGTATTTCAGCTGGATTTAGGCTAAGGGCTAAACGAATTGGAGGATCCAGGTTCAAACCCAGGTTTTTGGGATAAGGGCTAAATGAGTAGGAAGATCCAGGTTCAAACCCGGGTGAAGGAGAAAATACTAACACTTTCCTATCCCACAAAAAAAAAGATGATGATACAAATGAAATCAGGTCTCCCACAAAGAGTAGGTATTTCAGTCACTACAAGAGTTGAAACTTTAAAGATGACGAATGCCAAACAATTTATAAACAAAACAACGGAAGACAAGGTATCAAAAAGTAACATACCTCTTTTAGGTTGTGCTTCTGTCTCTTATGGCGATGACTTTTACTTCGCTCCTTTTCCTTATTCTAGCAGGGAAACGAGGAGGTAAGATAATGAAAAAACATTAAACTGTACAGATAGTAGTACACAAGCAAATCACCTTCTTAGATTTGTCGCTCTTTTTGTGCTTCTTTGTACGATGAGATGTTTCATGCTCACTATCAGAAGAACTCTCACTTCTGTAGTAATATATTAAAAATTGTGTTATGATATGAACCAAATTAATCCATTGATTAATTAAATTATTAATGCGTAATGGCATAAGTTTTGTATACCAATTGCACACGTCAACATACAGCAAAACCGAAAAGTAGAAACTTATTGAAAAATGATAGTGTCTTGCATAACATGATAGACACACAATTCATCAACACTCAAATGTATTTTTCAATTCATTTTCATCTAAACATGAATCACTTCAAATTCAACTAACTCTAACCTAAAATCAATTAAGGCAAAATCAATGGAAACATACAAACATACACGTAACCAAAACACAGAGACAAAAGGTTGAATCAACTATTTCTTCAACTATATTCCATAGCATTTGAGAACGTGTTTACATAAAAATTCATACATAGTAAATTGAATTAAATTTATCACGGAATCAAATATGTATGTACGAAGAAATAAAAATCAAAAGGAATTAACCATATAGTTCGTTATGTGAGGAATTGAATTGGAACCTGGAGTAATCGGAGAGGGAGGATGAAGAATATGAATCGGAATCGGAAGAGTAGCGATGATGCTTGCGACGTCGTTTGGTGTGGGAGTGAGACTTGGTTTTTTTTCGGATCTTGAGGGAGTCCTTGTCGCGGTCTCGGCGATTACGGTGGTGACGCCTGCGACGGTGAGAGGAAGAATCGGAAGAGAGAGAGGAAGAAGAGGCGGCCATGAGATAAGCGCGGTGTCGCGATTTCGGAACGAGGGTTTGCCTCGAATTGGGGAAATCGGTCACCCCTACACACTCTTCTCCTTCTTCTATATTAAGTCAAGCGCGTGGGTCAATAAGTTCGATTATCACAATTATTCATATGTAATATTTTAAAGTTGATTAAAATAAAAATCAAATATTTTTTAGTTAATTTAGGTGATATCAAATGAATTTAATTTGTATATCTTTGTTCAGTGGAAAAAGTTTTATACCGTCACTGACTGTCCGTTAATCATAATCGTTAAATTTTAATTACAGTTTGATTTTGATTTTAGGTTTTGATGCACTGATGGTATAAAAAAATTTTCACCGATAATGTATAGCAATTAATCTCATATCGGTTAGATACGATAAACATTCGTTTTGGAAAATATTCACTTAAACCCGTCCTAATCCACAAAATTTATTTTGATTAGGAGTGTTTATGGGTGCGGGTAACTCTAAATTCAAATTCAAATTCAAATCAAACCATAGTATTTGGATTGGATATCTTTTTAGTTTAGGTAAAAATCGAAGTAAATTAATGAAATACGATGATAATTGGTTCGGGTAACATATTCTTAAAATTTTAATCGCGATTCCATCTATCCAAATCAACCATATTAATTAATATAATTTATATAATCATTATTGTGGTAACTAGTATAATATATTAAACTTTGAGAGTGAGAAAAAATGAAATGGCATTTGTGATATTCTTAACTTATATAGAAAAATGAACAAATTAAAAAATTTATATTAATATAAAAAATTAGTTGATGTTGTTGGAAATTCACTTCACACCCTATGAAGAATTCCCTTCAAAGATCTCAAGATTGATGAACAAACCCACAATATGATAATGATGGTAATAATAAGTAATTATCAAGAACAACAAAAGAGAAGAAGAATAACAAACAAGAAAGAGAAGAATGAGAGAAGAAGTATTTGGAGAGAATGTGTTACCCACAACTGTGGGATTTCTTATTGAACTTTCACTTGTTAACTGCAACTGCGAAATATGTTCTGTTGTGATGTAGAATACAAAGCAAGACACCCTATTTATAGTTTTAGGTTTACATTAGCCCAAAACATAAAAGGTCCAAAATATTCTAAATCAAATCTAATCATATGATATCAAACCTAATCATATGAAATCAAATCTAATCATATGATATCTAATCATATCATATCAAATTAATCATATGATATCAAATCTAATCATATGATATCAAATCTAATATAATCATATGATATCTAATCATATCAAATCAAATCTGTTTACACAATGAATTATATTTAACACACCACCTAATTCATTGTGTCTAAACTGTCTACATTCATCATGGCCCACTTCACGTCCATCTGACATGTGTGTCAGTTGTTCATATTTGCTAAACCAACAACCAACCTGATTGTTTCGATTCTAGCAACAGGTGCGAATACTTCATCGAAGTCGATTCCTTCCTTCTGAAGAAATCCTTTCGCCACAAGTCTCGTTTTGTGTCGAGTTACTTCTCCTTTAGGATTTACCTTCACCTTGTAAACCCACCTCACATCAATTGCCTTCTTGCCTTGCGGCAATTCGACAAGTGACCAGGTATCATTGACTTCGATGGACTCTAACTCTTCAATCATTGCTTTCACCCACTTCGAATCTTTCAATGCCTCAGCTGCATTGACTGGTTCGACATCTGCGTAGAAAGCATAATGTACCGGCTCACCCTCTTCATCGACTACATCATCTGATGTGATTACACATTCTTGCAACCTTGTAGGCATGTGTCTAGTTCGTCGAGGTCTGCTTGAACCTGCTTCATCTGCAACTGGTTCCTGTCGAACTTCTATTTTGACTTCAGTGGCTGCAGTTGCTAAACACTTGTGCTCCATCACATTGTGTCCAATCTTAAAGGTCCTATTCTAAGACATTGGAGCCTTCAAGATTAGTCTACCACCTGCGTCGAGGACTCTCATCATCTTGTCTTCAACAACTACCTTGTAGTTCTTTTCGACAAGCTGCCCTATACTGAGCAAATTACTCTTCATGCCTGGTATGTACAACACATTGGAAATTGTTGACCTTTTGCCATCTTTCCTCATAATCAGAACATCACCAACACCTTCAGCTGCTAGAGTGTTGTCATTTGCAAACTTCACCGTATTCTTCGACGAGGGCTTCATGTTGACAAACCAATCTTTCCTTCCAGTCATGTGTGATGAGCATCCTGAGTCCAAGTACCAGTGATCTTGGAATCTTTCTTCATCGTTTGTTGTGACCATTAGCAACGTTTATTCTTCTTCATGTTTCGCCAGCTTTGCATCAGTCTCTTGATTTCTTTTCTTTTCTGGACAATCATTAACATAATGACCATACTTCTGGCAATTGAAACATTGAATGTGGCTTTTGTCTGTCTTTCGATCACCACCTCTTCCTTTACCTGCAGCACCACCTCTTTGGTTGCCTTGGTTCCAAGGTTTCTTTTGATTCGACTGGTTTCCTCCTTTGTTGCCATTCCAGCTACCTTTGCCTTTTCTCTCCTTTTCCGTCTGTGCCTGCAAAGCCATATCTTTCGACTTTCCTGCAACTCTCTCAGCCATCCTCTGTTCATGAGACTCAAGAGTCCCTTGAAGCTCTTCCTTCGTCAACACTGACAGATCTTTCGACTCTTCTATGGCAACTACCACGTGGTCGAATTTTGGAGCCAACGATCTCAAAATCTTTGAGACAACTGCTTTCGTCGTCAGCGTTTCTCCACATACTTTGATTTGATTCACCAACCTTGTAACTCTGGTGAAGAGATCTGTAATGCTTTCATTGTCTTCCATCTGAAGCAACTCATAGGTTCTCTTGTGAGTTTGTAACCTCACCTCTTTCACCTTCTCTACGCCTCCAAACGACTTTTCAAGAATCTCCCATGCTTCTTTTACTGAATCGACATCACTAACCTTTTCAAAGTTATCAGGATCAACACACTGATGAATTATAAAGAGTGCTTTATAATCCTTCTTCTTCAATTCTTTGTACGCATCTTTTTTCGCCTCCATTGCGTTCTCCACCAGCGATGTTACTACGTCCTTCACAAGATCCCAAAGATCTTGATAACAGAAGATCACCTTAACCTGCTTGCACCAATTCTCATAATTGTCTTTCTTGAGAATTAGCAGGGTCGCCGGAAAGTTGCTGTTTGGATAGTTCATCGCCATCACTATCTTCCTTCCTTGAATCTCTTAACCGGAGCTCTAGATACCAAATGTTGGAAATTCACCTCACACCCTATGAAGAATTCCGTTCAATCTTGATCTCAAGATTGATGAACAAACCCACAATATGATAATGATGGTAATAACAAGTAATTATCAAGAACAACAAAAGAGAAGAAGAATAACAAACAAGAAAGAGAAGAATGAGAGAAGAAGTATTTGGAGAGAATGTGTTACCCACAACTGTGGGATTTCTTATTGAACTTTCACTTGCTAACTGCAACTGTGAAATCTGTTCTGTTGTGATGTAGAATACAAAGCAAGGCACCCTATTTATAGTTTTAGGTTTACACTAGCCCAAAACATAAAAGGTCCAAAATATTCTAAATCAAATCTAATCATATGATATCAAACATAATCATATGAAATCAAATCTAATCATATGATATCTAATCATATCATATCAAATTAATCATATGATATCAAATCTAATCATATGATATCAAATCTAATCTAATCATATGATATCTAATCATATCAAAACAAATTTGTTTACACAATGAATTATATTTAACAGATGTAAATTAGATTTTTTTTTTAATTTGCACATTTGTTTCTAATGAATCCGATCAATCGAACACAAACCAATTTATTATTTCTTATTTTGAATTGATTTGAGTTTTATCGAAAAAATTGTGAAAATTCAATTCAAACCAATCTATATATTTTTTATCAGTTTGAGTATCAGATTCTCTCAAAACCAAAACAAACAAACCCACAAACACCCCTAATTTTGATTGAGTTTGGTTCTTAGTTTGGACTCTTTTTTAAGATGATAGAGATATTAGTACTCCTCTCAATTTGAACTCGCGATTATGTTGATTTGTAGTTTATTATTTAATTTTAATGATTTGAATAATTTGGTTATGATAATTTAGATTAGGGAAAAATATCTTTTTTGGTCCTTTAATTTTACCTCGGGGTCCTTTTGGTCCCTTAATTTTAAAAAGTTTTAAATTGATCATTTAATTGTTCAAATAGTGTCGCGTTAGTCCTTTCCGTTTACTCTATTAATCAAAGTCAACGAAATAATGTATGTGGCTCTGATGTGGAATCTTAAATGACACATATACATTTATTTTTTCAAGGTGGATGTCATTTAATATACCACATAATTAATAACATTTATATTTATAAAAAATAGCAAAATTCAGAAGAAGAAAAAAAATGTCTTGTTCACTTTCGTCTTTTTCAACCATCTTCCAACTCCCTACCAACAACAAACCCTAATTCAAATTTTGTGTTTCTGAATGGGAACACAGATTTAGGCTAGGAACTAGCAACAAAAACCGCTAGGAAATCAACTCCGACAACCGGCGGAGTGAAAAAAGCACACAGATTCAGGCTAGGAATAGTTGTTTTGAGAGAGATTCGTAAGTACCAAAAGAGCACTGAGCTTCTTATCCAAAAACTTCCTTTCCACCGTCTTGTTCGTGAAATCGCTCAGGATTTCAAGACGCGTATGAGGTTTCAGAGGCGAGAGAGCTTAGTTTGTATCTACTCCAATTTCATTCTCAAATGTTATTTTCTCAACCTTAGAATAAGACAGTGTCTACCATATTCTTTATGTGAATCTTAAACTTTGTAATACCATTTGAATGTTAATCAATGATTTTCATACATCTCTTTTATAATTTTCCTATTTACATGTCAATTGATTTTTTTTTAATTTGATAATAAAAAGTTGAATCAACAAATATCAATCATACACGTATGTGTAT